GAGGGACTCATCCCTTTTATGAAGAATCTTGAGAGGAGCAAAATGTTAACATTTCCATTCTGATCTGTCCCTTTTCCTTCGCTGACGATGGTAAATGAGATTAGGCTCTGTGTTCTTAATCCGGCTATTCTTAATCCACTGATTATCACATTGTTTAAACACGGCTCCATCACAGCTGAATCTATCTCCTTTCCTACCTCAAAATCAACCTGGGTCACTGTAAAGCATTAGTAAGTGGAAACTGTGATTATCCTCAACCACCTTTGTGTCCCTTTCTTATCAGTAATTCTTTACATGTCAAGATTGAACACTGGCCATCTCGATGTATGTTCCCCCCAAATGTCTCACTAAAACTTCATTTTGAATTAATTTTGTTGGGGTGGAAGGTGCATTTTCTCACAATTAGTCTATCAGATGACTGTCTTGAAAAGTTCCTCATGTTAAAATGTAATATCTAGATGCATACGTGTTAAAGGTGCTCCCATTTTCCCGTGACAGTGCTTCATTACTAGTTAAACATTTTGTGAACTGCAGGTTTGGGTGTTGGGGGCTGCGCTGATGCTTCCTGAGTTCGGCTTTACCTATTTACTCTCTAATTGTAATAGGAGAAACAGCAGTGTGGTGGTTATGGTCATTGGATTCTTATCCAGAGGCACATGAAATGATCTTGGGAGGGACACGGGTTTGAATCCTTCCATGTCAGCTGGTGGCGTTTACATTCATTAATACAGTTGGAATATAGATTTACCCTCAGTAATGATGACTGACAACTTTCAGGATGTAAATACATTGCTAACATTTCAGGGGTTTACTAGACTAATAATGAGGAGTGGTTCGATATGTGAGGAGAGGTTGGACAGACCAGGTTTGTGCCTGCTGGAAATTAGAGTAAGAAGTGATTTATTGGAATTCTGAGTCGTCTTGACATTTGCATGTAGAAGAGTCATACATACTGAACGAGTTTTGCAAACTAAACTAGTCCCACTTGCCTATATTTGGCCCTTATCCCTCTAAACCCTTCCTATTCATATACCCATCCCGATGCCTTTTAAATGTTGTGATTGTACGGGCCTTCTCCACTTCCTCTGGCAGCTTATTCCATACACGCACCATCCACTGTGTGGAAAAGTTGCCCCATATGTCCCTTTTTTGTTTCTTTTAAATCTTTTCCCCCCTCGTCTTAAACCTCTGTCTTCTAGTTTTGACTCCCACACCCTGGTGTAAAGACCTTGTCTATTTACCCTTTCCATGCCCGTCACGATTTTATCAGCCTCTCAATGCTTCAGGGAAAGTAGCCCCAGTCTATTTAGCTGCCTCCTATAGTTCAAACCCTCGCAATATACTTGCAAATCTATTCTGAACCCTTTCAAGTTTCAGAACATCTTTCCTATAGCAGGGAGACCAGAACTGAACACAGTACTCCAAAAGTGGCCTCACCAATGTCCTGTACAGCTGCAATATGATCTCCTATCTCCTATACTCAAAGCAGTGACCAATAAAGGCAAGCATACCAAATGCCACCTTCACTATCCTATCCACCTGCAATTCTTCAAGGAACCATGAACCTGCACTCCAAGGGCTCTTTGTTGAGCAACACTCCCCAGGAACTTACCCTTAAGTGTGTAAGTCCTGCCGCGATATGCCTTTCCAAAATGCAGTACCACATTTATCTAAAACTCCCATCTGCCACTCCTTGGCCCATCTGATCACGATCCTGTTGTAATCTGAGGTCACTACCTTCGTTGGCTGCTACACCTCCAACTTTGGTGCCACGCTGCAAACTTACTAACCATACCTTCTATGTTCACATCCAGATCATTTATATAAATTGATGAAAGGCAGTGTACCCAGCACCAATCCTTGTGGCATGCTGCTGGTCACAGACCTCCAGTCTGAAAAGCAACCTTCCACTAACACCTTCTGTCTTCTACCTTTTAAGCCAGTTCTATATCCAAATAGCTGGTTCTCACTGTATTCTGAGATCTAATCTTGCTAACCAGTCTACCATGAGGAACCTTGTTGAATGCCTGACTGAAGATCATACACACCACAATATGTTGTGGTTTGAGGCATCTTCAATCCATTGATAAGTCAATTCTTACTATAATGTTTTGGTTCATTCAAATAGATCTGCCCACTTTGTATGTCAGGCAAATAGTATTAGCATGAACATGCTATTAATGTGATGGGGTTGTAATTAGTTGATGTGTATCACCAGTTCTTTTGTTATTTCCAGTTGAGTGCTCTGATCATTGTTTTTATTAAAGCTGCAGATATGTTTCAGCCTACTAACCACAATTTTTGTTTTATACAATTGAGTAGAAGTGGTCAAAAGGAAAAGTAAGAGACAAGCTGAACAACTTGATCCTGTTCGATAAAGCCACATATGATAAGCTGTTGAAAGAGGTACCCAACTACAAACTCATCACACCTGCTGTTGTCTCTGAAAGGTTAAAAATCAGAGGTTCTCTGGCTAGGGCTGCCCTCCAGGAGTTGCTTTCAAAAGGTAATCTTTCACATTCCTGTATCTTAATGCTATTTTTTCAATGTTACAGTGGCTTGTGGTATGATTCGGGGGAGATTGCGTCCAGACTAAAGAACCATTGCTTTCTGTACTGTCTGGAATTTGCTTTGAGATTGCTCATGAATGGTGACTTGTGGGCACATCATCAGCATTTTGGCTGTTTAGTTTAGTCCAAGTGTAAACTTTCTACTTAACTATTTTTAAACAAAGCATGGTTGTCCTTTCCTTGGTCAGTCTTGCTGGGGAATGGTGAAATATGGTGCAGTGGTTGAATGCCTCCTGATCTCCTCCCCCGGCGTGTGTGAGGGTTTTGGAAAGCAGGTAGGAAAGTGGAATTGAGGCTGAGTTGATATCATCCATGGTTGCAACAAATGGTGGCGCAGACTCGTGGGACTGAATGGCTGCCTGCTGCTGCTAGCTGTTATGTTTTTGTTCATGCCTCACTTGTGAAAAGGAGTTCATTGTCTTATAGATGTAGGAGATTGATCAATTTTTAGCACGTACATCATTTCAATCTTGCCTATTTCATCTTGTGTAATTTGAGACCACTTGTACCCCCAGGCCACCTTCTATAATTGGTTTTGATTTTTTTTTTCCAGGCATGATCAAATTGGTGTGCAAACATAGAGCACAGGTTATCTATACACGAAATACCAAGGGTGGTGATGCACCTGCTCCTGCAGATGATGTGTAATAAGGTACGGTGTTTCTGAATGCATACTTGTTACTGCTTTTATCTCTTGTGGATATGTTGGACATTTGTGAGCAAATCAGGTTTGCTTTGGAGCTAGCTGTTACTGATCTTTTTGCTCCTTTCTGTGGAATGAATGGTATGTTTCTTCATTCCCAATGAGAAGTTTGCACGTTCTGCATGTGAGTGAGTTCAGTGTACAGCATCCTGGGGCTGAGAGCTTCCAGCAGCTGGTAGTCTGCATGATGTAAATGTGTAACTCTGATAGTCAACCTTCTGGTAAAACACTCAACCAGTTGAACCTTCAGAAGAGGTCAGTTATACAATGGGGGTAGTGACATGCAAGGTTAGTTTTGATGAATTAATTTACTTCACCCTTTTGAGCATCAGCCTGACACCTCAGAATAAAGGTCTTGCCAATTAAAATGCTGTGGCTCACTCTCTGATCAGTGCTCTTTAAGGGCAGTAATTTGGCCTGATGATCTTGGATTTAGGATCAGTTAAGATTACCTGCTGTTGATTAGTTAGAATAGAACTGCCTAGAACTAGTTGGTCTGAGAAGTGAAATGAAGTCTTTCGGAATGCAGAACTTAATGGTAGCAGTCATGTTCAATAATTATAGTATCAAGATATTCACTAAATTGAAAATAGATTAAATGTTTTCAGGTAATTTAGTGGAATTGATCACTCTCCTAGACATTGACGTAATTACTTCCTCTTTTTCAGGTTCTGGAATGGATTTCGTGATGCTGTTTAGATAAGTCAAAAAAATTAGAAATAAAGTTGTCTTTAAAACATTTCTGTTGTTTCTTTTTGTCACAGTCATGGGAAGAGGGTGGCACTGGCAAGGACTGCATTTATTCCCCATCCCTAAGTGTCTTCCAAAGCAGTGGTGAGCCACTGGAGTCCATGTGGTGTATAGACACCTCTGGTATTGTTAAAAGGGGAGTTCTTTTCTTAAACGTTGGTGTGCCCTTGTGCTACTGGGTGTTAGATGTCATGGTCTAGGAAGGGCTTGGAGGAGCCTAGGTAAGTTACTGCAGTGCATTGTACTCAGAGAAGGGAATGAATAGTGAGGTTGGTGGCCTTGCCCTTCTAGATTGGTAGAGGTCCTGGATTTGAAGAGTATGGTTGAAGCTGCCCTGCTGCATTACTGTAACGCATATGCTGCTGGGTTGGTGCTTGAGGGAGTAAGTGTCTGAAAGAGGTTAAATGTTAACATCTTGCATGTACAAACTCATCTATAAATCATGGAGGTTAAATTGCATCTTGACAAAACTTAGTTGGTAATTTATAAGCAGGGGCAATTTCACTACCTAGTAGTGCCTACACTTGCCCAGTGGTTTTTGACATACAACATGGCTAGAAGTTTTACATGACTTGTGGATAGTGGCTGTTAGCTGTGGTATGGATTCTAGATTGTCATTACAATAATTTGCAGGGGCAAAGTTTTCATTCCCATGTAATTGATAACTATGTAGAGTATCCAGTTAAAGTCTGTCTTTTTAAGTTGGGCAGGGAGATGTATGGAATTGAGTCACCCACTATTGAGCTTGATAACCAGGATAACATTTGTCCTGATTCAGGTTTTCATGCTGCCCTCAAACAAGACCTATCAAATGAACTGGGTATGTACTGTTTAGTGCAAGTATAAAAGGTTTTTTAGTGTACTCTATAATTAGAAATACAAAAATGGCTCAAGCTACTAGAAAGTTGCTAAATGGCAACTAAGGAAAACTGAGCCACTGCTGAACATCAATAGAGAAAGATGGAGAAATAATACCATTGCATTTGAAATTGTATTAGGCAGAAATGTAAAAGTGTTGATTTACTGTGGCAAAATTTTACAAACTAAACTTATTTCCATAGATTTTAGTGATATGTACAAGTAGCTTACAGCTCCTGGCTAGTACATTAGAAATTAGTTTTCAGAACCTGTTTACCCAATGCAATAGGGTATACAATATTTTAATAAACTTTATACAATGAGTCTAGCAAAAAGTATGTAACATTAACATGTCTTTGAAGCACAATCTCCCCCATTTTCCTCTTCGCACAATTCATTTGTTTTAAAATTTTCCTCTGGTCATCTCTTGTCTCGTTTTCTTTTTTTGCCTTCCTCTAATCTGAATTGATGCCTATAAAAATGAAAGCAGTCAATGAGATTGGTGCTATTTGAGTGTTCAGTATTGTCAATCAAGTACAAGGAAACAATTTAACATTAGAACAACTAAGCCTTTATGGAAATGCTAAGTAAACCATTACAAATCCAAGTTACCTTAATTTCTCAGTGGCTATATGTGCAGTTATCATGTAAAGATCTTTCTGCTGTATTCCAATTAGAAATTAAGTCAAGTTTCTGGAGAGTTGTCTTAAATGGCAAGTGTAGTTTGGAAAAGGAAACCAGAACCAAATCAGTGCAGGAATGCATTTTTATTCATTACACTGCGATCAGAAACGCCATATCCCTGTATCCTACAGAACTACCCAGGACAAGAAATAAGAACTCACCTGGATTGCCACCTCCTGCCATCATTCCACACCCGGCCAAATGAAGGTAACCAGGAGTCATCTGTTTCTGATGTGTGGTTGAAATTTGCACCAACTCTATTTGGAGGAAGTTTCTTCAGTTTTTCTTTCTCCTCTAAAATTGAAAAATCATGAATGCTGAGCCATTAGCTGAACAAGTATCTAACCTAAAAGCAAAGTTAAATGTTTCAACACCCAACTTCAAATAGTCAGAAGTTGAGCACTACTTTTGCCTTCAATAGAGCTTGAGAGAAACGAGATTGTTTGGCTCACCCAGTCCAAACTGGTGTTTTAACTTTTTAGTACTTTTCTCATGTACCCAGTCTATTCCTTCATACCACTTCAACCAGCCATCAAACCTGGTTGTACGTTGCCATACCTTTTAAATTACAATGGAACTGTAGTTCACAGCCTGAAGACCCTCATTGGCCTGCTTTGCCCTAAGCCGCTGTACTTCCCTTTCTTGATTCACTTCATCTCTTTCCTAACACTTCCACTTCTAATAGAAGTCTCTTCATATTTGTATTAATCATACCAGGCAGCATTCTGATGCATGTATGTTGCACCATGTTTTAACATCTTGTCTACACTATGGAATGCTTCCAATTGTGGTTCACAATTCTTTAATAGATACACTACTACACCTCAGTTTAGTATTCCATTAGCTTTTTTGTAACCTTGTCACTGATTTATTGAAACAAACAGTAAGTGCTCATACACATTACCCAAGTACACTCAAAATGGAACTACTTTCAGTTCCATGTACTTCCTTACTAAATTAAATTTACTTGGCCTATTTATATATTACCTGTTAGGTGGACGGCCACACTATAAACAGAAGCATTACAAAAGAACATGCTTTACAGTAGTAGTATTCCCTATATCATGCAAACCACAGTACTTTAAGGAGGAAGTTTACCACCACTTTTAGGACAATTTGAGATGGACAATAAATGTTGGCCTTGAAGCTGGCAGAGTAGAGTTTGAATATTTCATTACAAAGCTTTAAAATTAACAAAATATGGAGGAAGATTCAAGTTTAGGGTGACAATTAGCCTTGGCAAAAGAAATACCAACTTCTCCAAGAGGTGATTCGTTTAAAATTATGAAAGGTTGTAACGTTGTTGTTGTTCAGCAAGGCTGTAACCTCAGCATAGATATAAGGCAAAGAGAGCCTCAAGCACTATTTGAATGGATACATAATTTGTCAAACTATTGTTAGGAAATCTATTTCAAAAATGTTTCATTGTTTAGGATAGAGAAATGAGAATGGGATTTGATTGAATAGTTAAAAATCCAATTACAGATTTCATAAATGGTCATTTAAAACATAAGCTCATCCTAGCTCAACACCCTAGTTGCCCATTCATCTTTTTTTCTAAGTCAAGCAACACTAAACATTAAAGTTCTCATCTTGGTTTGCAAATATCTCCTGGTTCACTATGTAACCTCCACTCCCACAACTAGAAAGATAATTGGTGCTCCTCCATTTCTATGCACTTGAGGATCCAGAGCTTTAAGATGCTTCAACCATGGGAGAGCAGACTTTTAGCTGCTGAGTCCTTGAGCTCTCACCTCTGGTGATTTGAGACAGTGTTAGTTCCAATATGGAAAAGGAAGTGGGGTGGGGTGGGGTGGGGGCAGCTGCAAGCATATGACCCTAAATAGGTATATGGCTAGGTTCACAAGTGTGAGATGCAATCGTAAAAAGAAAAGCAGTACACAGGGTTGTCCCCAAGGGTTTGATTATGGTGCTTCTGGGGGAATCCAAAATGTCAAGACTCATGAATAGGACCACAAAAATACACTAGTAGGGTGATGTTTGTGCCCATGGAGACTGGGTTAGTTGGGTGCCTCTGTTCGGTAAAAGTCAGAGGCCAAATGTTCAAAAGAGACCTGCAATTCTGCCTGAGAAAGTTCAGAGGTTTGACAGAGATTGTGACTGAACTGCTGCCATAGGTATTGAGTGGACTGTTCAATAAATGAATGAAATGGTCGTTGTATCTACTATGAAGTATGCAATTTATAGTTGATATTGATGCTAGTTTTCCTGATTGATAAAACATGAACTATCATATCAAAATCAACAAATTATCTTGTCCATTAGATTTTTTGTTGGGGTCATTTGGTAAATTTGATGTTTGAGTTGTCGGTCCTCTGAGGGATTTGACCATCTGCCTCAACAATTTAACCAAGGGTTTGGTTATCTACCCTAAAATCTCAAGTTGGTTTGGTGTTCAGTTTTGTTTAATGACATACCCCCTGGACCACCTCGGGACTATCTCATGCTACAGGCACTATACAAATGTAAATGTTTTTACTGCATAGAAAACATGACAGTTCATGACATCTTGACCTTCTGTAATTAAGTTACCCACTATAATATCAAACATACTCTGTTGGATAAACTCCTCATAAGATGGCCCTATTGATTTTGGTGTTGCGTCCACATCATCTTCATCAATAAGCCAAGGTGGAGTAGCACCTGAGATCAGATGTAAAGATTAGTGGGAGGCAAAGGTACACAGGCATTACAAAATAATACTAATCAATGATTTTGCTTCAGTTTTAACCACATATACAATGGAACTTAATTGCTGACAAAAATAAAAACACTTATCCCAGAAGACACATTTTATAGTACAAAAGAATCTGGTATAATTTCTTGCATTATGCTCAAGTATGTTTGATTTACAAAATCTCAAATCGCAAAGAAAGAGAAGAGCAGATATCCACCAACATTATCTCCTACGTACTCCCACGATCCTGAAAACAAGTAAAATTAATTGTTTGAATGGAAGAAATTAAATGAGAAGTGATTTAAGTTGAGGCATGGTAACTGATCACATGGTAATGTAAAGTACAGGGATGGCAGAGTTATCCAAGACTGGGAATTTGCTATTATTCTGTTGGACAAAAACTGTAGGAGGACCTTCAGCACATGAACTGCAGTGGTTCAAATAGTCAAAAATCACCCAATGATAATTCTCCATGATTAGTGCTAGGCAATAAACGCCAGTCTTGCTCTTGACTCCCACATCCCAGAATATTAAGGAAGAAAAATTTAAAAAGGCAAAACTGAAAAAAATATATAAAATGTCAAATTATACATATGTTGAGTCACTGTAGAATAGTAATTATGTTTCTGCATACATTCCAGAACAATACTTTAAAAATACTTAACAGATGCACCTATGACTTCTGTACAATGTTTTGTTATCCTCAATGAGGATAAAGGTGAAATTTACTCACCATATTTTACAGTACTATAAACGAAAGTGGATAATAAATGCATTTGACAGTAGAGTGCATATGGAATATCAACTGAGTGAAGGCTGCTGTTAAATTCAGTATGCTATTCTAGTTTACACTCGCCGAAAAACTGTTAATTACTACTTCGGATAGATGATGTTTGTTAACCAATCACAGCAGCTTTCAAATATATAACACTTACATAATCATCTTTTGCCTAAATCTCACTTCTAAATACACAGTCATTACATTACACAATGTAAACCTGCACAAAATGACATCTTCACCTGTGTGAATGTTCCGAGTTTCTGGTTTGGATATCTGGAATCGTAGGAAAAAGCCAGTCAGACGTTAATTACAGATCCTGACAAACCAAATTGGTTGAGTTGCAACTTTAACAGTTTACTTTGAATTATTATATCCAAATAAAAAAAAACGCATAATTGGTTTTTAAAATAAAATGGAGTAATCCATATTGACATTTTCATACACTCACAGGACCAAGCATCTCTATCAGTTTTACTATCTTTTAAAATTCATTCATGGGATGTGGGCAGTGCTGGCTGGCTGGCCAGCCAGCATATATTGCCCGTTCCTCGTTGCCCTTGAGAAGGTAGTTGTGAGCTGCCTTTTTGCACCGCTGCACTCCACCTGCTGTGAGTTGACCCACATGTCTTTTGGTAGGGAATTCTAGGAATTTGACCCAGCAACAGTAAAGGAACAAGACTATTTTTCCAAGTCAGAATGGTAAGCTGCTTGGAGGGAAACCTGCAGGTGTCTGCTGCCCTTATCCTTCTAGATGGAAGTGCTCATGGATTTGGATGGTGTATCTAAGGATCTCTGGTGAATTTCTGCTATGCATTTTGTAAATAGTACACACTCCTGTCACTGAGCATTGGTGGTAGAAGGAGTGGATGCTCGTGAAAGTGATGTCAATCAAGTGGGCTGCTTTGTCCTGGATGGTATCAAGCTTTGAGTGTTGTTGGAGCTGCACCCATTCAGGCAAGTGGGAAGTATTCCATCACACTGACTTGTGCCTTGTAGTTGATGGACAGGCTTTGGGGGGGGGGGGGGGGGTAAGAAGGGGACTTACTCACCACAGTATTCCTCACCTCTGTCCTGTTCTTGTAGCTATTGTGTTTAATGTGGCGAGTGCAATTGAGTTTCTGGTCAATGGCAACCCTCAGAATGTTAATAGCTGGTAATACTATTGAATGTCAAGGGTTGGTGGTTAGATTGTCTCTTAATGGTGATGGTCAAAGCCAGGTATTTGTGTGGTGCAAATGTAACTTGCCACTTGTCAGCCCAACCCTGGACGTTATCCAGATCTTGTTGCATTTGAACATGGACAGGTTCAGTACCCGAGTCGTCATGAATTGTACTAATCATTGTGCAATCATTAGTAAACATTCCCACTTCTGACCTTATAATAGAGGGAAGGTGATCATTTATGAAGCAGCTGAAGATGGTTGGGGCTTAGACACTAGCCAGAGGAACTCCTGCAGAGATGTCCTGGAGTTGAGATCCAACAACCACGACCATCTTTTTGTGTGCTAGGTATGACTTCAACCAGCAGAGTTTGCCCCTGTTACCCATTGATTCCAGTTTTGCTAAGGCTCCTTGATGCCACACTCAGTCGATGCAGACTTGACTTCAAGGACTGTCACGTTTATCTCACCTCTTTTTTGTCCATGTTTGAACCAAGGTTGCAATGAGGTCAGGAGCTGAGTGGTCCTGGTGCAACCTAAACTGGGCATCACTGAGCAGGTGCTGCTTGATAGTTCCTTCCATCGCTTTACTGATGATCAAGAGTAGACCGATTATGCCAGTAACTAGCTGGGTTGGATTTGTCCTTTTTATGTACCTGGGCAATTTCCCAAATTGTCAGGTAGATGCCAGTGTTTAACTGAACTGGAAAGAGCTTGACTGGGGGAGCAGCAAGTTCTGGAACAGAAGTCTTCAATGTTGTGTCCTATAGTCTTTGTAGTATCCAGGGTCTCCAACGGTTTCTTGATATCACGTCTATTGAATTGAATAGGCTGAAGACTGATATCAGTAATGTTGCAGACCACTAGAGGCCACCCAGATGGATCATCCACTCGGAACTTCTGGCTGAAGACTGCCATGAATGCACTGATGTACTGGGCTCTTTCATTGTTGAGGATGGAGATATTTGAGGAGCCACCTCTTCCAGTGAGTTGTTTAATTGTCCACCACCATTCACGACTAGACATGGCAGGACTGCAGAGGTTAGGTCTGATTTTTGGTTATGGGGGTCACCTACCTCTATCACTTGCTACTTATTCTGTTTGGCACACAAGTAGTCCAGTGTTGTAGCTACACCAGGTTGACTGTTCATTTTTAGCTATACCTGGTGCTGCTCCTGGCGTACCCTCCTACACTCCCCATTGAACCCAGGTTAATCCCCTGGCTTGATGGTCATGTTTCAATGGGGGATATGCCAGGCCATGAGGTTACAGATTGTGCTGGAGTACAATTCTGCTACTGTTGATGGTCCACAGCGCCGCATGGAAGCCGTGTTGAGTTGCTAAACCTGTTCAAAGTCTGTCCCATTTAGCATAGTAATAGTGCCATACAATATGATGGAGGGGATTCTCAATGTGGAGGCAAAGTCCCGTCTTCACAATGACTGTGAGGTGGTCACTCTTACCAATACCGTCACGGACATATGCTATCCGCTCCACAACATGAAGTGTTTTAAAATAATATACAATGCAAGTACAATTGTATTGCTCAGATTTATTAAAAATCACATTATATAAATAAGTCAAAGGCTGAAAAAAATCTACAAATCCCTTATAAAGTTGATTGCTTATATTATTTATTTTCAGAAGGCCAAGTTTCAGCATTTTCTCAAAGCTTTATAAAATCCAAACAGGGTTGATGCATGGAATACATCTGATTTATTTGCACAAACTACAAAGGTTTGACTTGCACAATGACAAACCAGCTTGCCATGTTGGTAAAGTTGGGAGGGAGAATGCAAACTTTACATAAGCCAATGGCTCCTGCTCACACTTGAAACACATTTGTAGTCAGCTTCAGCAGATCAACTCCAATTTGGTTCCTGCAGCAGGCGCTGTTTGAATGCACCAGATTTTCAGAGTACAGAAAAGATCTGAATGAGCCAGTGCAAATGCTTTCCCCAGACCTGCTACAGACTCTGATTCAATTGCATTTCACTGCAATGCAAATGAAACAAGGGTGCAGATGTCTTTACACACCGAATAGAATACTGTTACGCATGTCACAAAAACACACCAACACTTCAGAGAAGTATCTCAGTAAATATTCAAACATCACCTGGTCACCAATGAAAGTCAAGTTTTGTCCATTTGTCACTTCACAAGAACGATAAGGAAAATTTACTCCACTTGGCCCAGGTTCATTCTCTTCAGCAATATAGGTACCATGACTTGCACAGAAACAACAGAATTAGCAGAATAATTTCTGTAAAATGCATGTTTTCCCAATCCAACTCAACCCAACCACATCCCCGGAATAAATATTTGGATGAAATTTTCATTTGCAGCGATCAGCACTCTTGAATACAACTGAGAAAAACCAAGAAACAAGAACCGTGAATCTATGCTCATTCGAAGTTCTGCTGCAACATGAAGATTGAACTCAAAACATTTTCACTTCCACTGTTTCTCCTTAGCCCCCTGGAATACATGGCAATGCCATATGCTCTCAAATCTTTGTGTCAGCAGCGTCATCCATGCAATCACTGCACTCAAATTCCTTTCTGAGACACCTTTCCATCTCTCTTTGCTGTAGATCTTTTATTCGCATTGACAGTTGAGAATTTTTTTTCGTGCCAATGTCTCTAAGTTAGGAAGTTTGATTTGGTCAGAAAGAAATGAAGAGTTTAACTGGGATGTAACCACAGAGCAGGGAGTTGGTTAATTTGCAGGTGGCCCTGGCAGAGCTAAGAAACAGATAAAAACCAGTCCTCTTGCTTTCCGAAAGGTGGGACAAGGGAAATAACTTGGTAAAGTTTATTTTAAATTAATTTCTCCCAATTTTGCCCTTGCATATTGTGGTTTAACATTAAAAAAGGTAAATAACAGAGACAGGAGCAGAGTCCTTGAATATTCAGGAGGCAGAGGTAGATATTCTTCATAAGCAAGAGAGCGAAATGTTACCAAGGCAGGTGGGAATATGGAGTAATTAAAATCAGCCAGGCTCTTGGTGAATGGCACTTCAGGCTCGAGGGGCTGAATGGCCTTCTTCTGACTCCTAATTCACATGTTTATGTGTGTCCATAAGACACCATCACAGAAGTAGATTACTGACTCTGCTGATTAGCTGGTGGTCAGATTGTTTTTGTTTTGTGCCACCCTCCCTGTGTAACATCACTGCCATTCTTGGAAAGGGAATCAGAATTTCATCCATTAGAAAGGAAAAACTTCCACGCCTTGTGAAAATATGGATCTTCAATGTTATTGTGACCAACTTTTTCATATCTGAAATCAATGACTTATTAAATAAAACTCAAGCAAACAAACTGAATCGGATGTTGGAGTTAGGGCATTTGATTAAAATGGCACTACATTTTCTGTTGGACAAGACATTTAAAATATAAGCTTAATATTACAATTGCTAGAAATCTGAACAGCTTTCTGATCTGTTCTGAAGCAGCATCATATTGCACTCAATATTAACTGTTTCTGTCTCCACAGATGCTGCCCGACCTGCTGAGTTTCTTCAACTTGCTCTGCACTTGTTACAAATTATTTTTCTCCCAAACCATACACATTGGATGTCATCTGGAGGGAGGAGGAAGAAACTTTGAAGTGAATTCCAAGATTTGGAAGGACAAGTGGGAGAAAAGAAATTGGTGATAGGGAGTGGGGTGTGGATTGAGAGAGAAAAGGACAGGCAGCGATGGAGATTTAGGACACAATCAAAGAACTCTACCTACTAGTGGTTCCACCTACAAACCTAAGGGGCAACTTTTTCATGTAGAGGGTGGTGCATGTATGGAATGAGCTGCCAGAAGTAGTGATGGAGGCTGGTACAATTAATACAGTTAAAAGGCATCTGGATGGGCATAGGAATAGGAAGGGTTTAAGAGGGAAATGGGCCAAATGTTGGCAAATGGGACCAGATTAAGTTAGCATATCTGGTCAGCATGGACGAGTTGGACTGAAGGGTCCATTTCTGTGCAGTACATCACTATGTCTCTATAAACATGAAGATGAGTACATTCAAATAATGCCACTACTAAACCAGAAGGTGTCAGAAGATAAACAAGAGCAACCAGTGGTTCTCACAATTACTTTCCACTAGTGAAAGAGGTGAATAATCTGAGCTGAGATGTTATGTTACTCAACAACCTGCTGCTGGGAAGCACATGAACAACTTTTTGAATTAGGATCTTCCCTATTGAAGACATGTGAATTTGAGATCTGCAGCTGCATACATCATTGGGGAGAAAGTAAAAATACACACAAACCTTTACGCGTGGTGCTTACATGCTGGCTTTCCAACATAGAGCACGACAATGGGTATTGCAAGTTATTAAGGTTCACCCTACAAGCTGACGTTCAGCTAACAGTGATAACATTGGCTCCAAGCTTGCATGTTATAATCAGATCACAGGCAGAATTTACAAATATAAACAAGCATTTTCTCCAAGGACTAGGGATGGAAAGATATATTTTGGAATGTGGGGTGTGCTGTTAAAATTACAGCAGTGTCTCTTGATTTATGCAACTCTTGGTATGGTTGCATCAAAGCCAACAGCCTTCCAGTATCACGTCAACTAATACCTGGTCCATCTTCAAACTTAAATGTTCCAGTGTGGATCAGAAGTACCTGATCCAAAACTTGCTTAATATTCAAATATATGCCCTTTCCACAATAAACAAAAGATGTCCCAAGGAGCACTGGCTTTAGCAATAATATTTAAACATTTGTGTAGCAAATTAGATGAGATTGAAAACAAAATCAAGTGAACTTCTCTTACCTTTCATAGTGGTCGATTGCAAGTACTGGGAGTCCATCAATAGAATTCTGCTCTGCCTGTGGCTGGTTTTGATTCAGGAAAAATCAACACTTTTTCTCTTAAAGTTTAAATATTTCAATGACAATTATTGCATTAGAAATGAGTAAGCAACCAAACATTCATCTGTAAAACGTGTTGCAAAGTTATGCAGCTTCCAGGTGTTAAACTCCAATGGTTAACATAATTAACATTTTCATCGCAGCAGAAATAGAGAGCTTGGTAAAAAAGATTTAATCCACAACACATTCTTCTTGGCTTTACAAATGCTGTCTCTGCATTATTCTGGCAACAGGCTCCCAGCTATAAACCCACATTATCTTCACCTGCACTGGCAAGATCTCAGGGCTGGGTACAGACAGCACATCTTTCTCACACTCCACGGTAGTTTGAAGCATTGCTAATACTCTCCTCGTTTAGGTAACAGATATAACAAATGCTGTCCAATTTAGAATGGACCTGTAGACAGAGGGTCCCTCACCCGGCTTGAACCAGATGGCAACAGTGAATACCTGAAATGGAAATCTGCAATCCCGCCCCCTCCTCGACTAAACTATCCCAGTTGGAGCATGCTGTGAAAAAAAGAGAAATAGCAAAAAGGGGTAGAGTGAACAGAAGCACTTCAAGAGCAAATCAATGTCTAGATATTGTGATTTTGCTTCATTGTTCTTTGTATAAAAGGGAGATTAATATTGAATGTATTAGTCCAGGGAATACCTCCATGAACAAATAATACATTATATAGAATTTGGTGACAAACCATTGTAACTAGAGTAAATAAAGTTTGCTTTCTGGAATTATACTGCAGTGGACTTTTTTTTAAAATACATCACCCCCATTTTCTTTTTTAACACCTAAAGCAGAGGATCGATTTTCCATTAATCCCAGTGAAATACAAAAAAACTTATTGCCTGAAAACTGCATGTATAGAATTTTGATTTGGGGTTTAAGAAAATCTTCATTTCTCCATCCCTTTAATGTACAGATTAAATTCTGGGTTTAGTCAAAAATATTTCATTTTCTTAAAATACACAGGTCAAAAAATGCAAAATACAGACAGCTTAAATATATTTAAGAGCAATATTTCCATTGTAATGGAGGATACTGCCCCTTGTAATGAGTTATGTTGTATTAACAATGAGTATATTTTCATTCCATAGATTCTCCCAGTTTTCACTCAGCACAACTTTACCGTCCCTACTACACTGAATCTCAACAGGTATATCCATTTTTTGTCTACTGGTCTAGAACTGATCAGGTTGGAGGAAAGCAATTCTATATGCAGATTCAGAACTTTTTAAAAAAAAAACTCATTCAAGGGATGCAAGCATCCCTAGCATGAACAAGTGGGTGTGTGGTGGAATTAGAACCACAAAATTGGGAACAAAGGAAGGCTACAGGTTGACACAGCAGTTAGCACTGCTGCCTCGCAGCATCAGGGACCCAGGTTTGATTCCACCCTCAGGCGACTGGCTGTGTGGAGTTTGCACATTCTCCCCGTGTCTGTGTGGGTTTCCTCCGGGTGCTCCAGTTTCCTCCCACAGTCCAAAGATGTGCACGTTAGATGGAATGGCCATGGTAAATTGCCCAACATCCAGGGCTGTGTAGGTTAGATGGATTAGCCATGGGAAATGCAGGGTTACAGGGATGTGGGGGTTCTGGGTTTCGATGTTCTTCGATTATGGGGTGGGGGGGGGGGGGGGTCTCGGTGTGGACTCAATAGGCCGAATTGCTTTCTTTCACACTGTAGGAATTCTACGATTCAGCCCATTGGATGGAATCTTCCACTAGAATCCTAATTTTCCAGTCATTTCTTTTTTTTCAAAATATAGAATGGATAAATAAAAGTTCGGTCGATACCATCCACTGCAGATAGGGGAAAAAAAATTGTGATAGGAATCAGATGAACGACAAGACAGAAAGATGTAAAGTGAAGTGTTCATATATTAATGGGACCACATCCAGGGACATTACTGATAAAACTGCTCTACTGTCAATAAAACACCTCTGTTCTTAATCTATTTTGTGTGAATTCAATAACTGATTTGCATAGGAGACTTCTTGGTTTGGATCTGTATTGTTTACTTGAAAAAAAAACTTAAAACTTTTAAAAATCCTTTTCTTTCCTTCACCATTTCTAGCTGAGGGACATTTCCCTGTTGTCACTCAACTCTTGCTACCTCAATGAAATGGTCGAATTCCGCAAGCCTTGACAAGAGATATTAGGAGGCTGTTGCTGAAACTGATTGGAGCCAAATCAAGCCCAATCCTAACCTGACGTATTATTCACTCTGACATTTAGGGGGCATGGGATGCACACGGAAGAGCAGTGGAAAGATCTCTGGATTGTGTTTGATGTAAAGAATCCTAGTTTTCTGACTGTCCCCTTCAACACAAGTTCACTTGAAACCAATTGTAACCATCCTACTATTGCCCTCACTGAAATTAGCTGAAAACAGCACATTTGTTTTATTCATTCACAGTATTTACAGTCCATCCTTAAATGTCCAGTAGGTAGTAACCATATTGTTGTGGGTCTGGTGTCAAGTGCAGTCCAGGCCAGGTAAGGATAGCAATTTCCCCCTATAAAGGCAATAGTAAACCAGATGGGCTTTTCCCAACAATAGACAATACTTTCATGCTCATCATTACACTTAATTCCAGATTTTTATTGAACTCAAATTCCACTATCTGCCATGGCAGGATTTGAACCTGGGTCCTCAGAACATTACTCAAGTCTCTGGATTAACAGTCTAGCGATAATACTACTAGGCCATCACCTTCCCCTTCCCCTTCCTCTCAGGAGTCAAAATTTGAGGCTCTCGTAAGGCTTAGCTCTGCAGCCTTAACCAAACTATCAAGGAAGCATCACTTAAATCTTTCAGGATTGTTATGCAATATATAGATCAGTCAGTGTAAAATACAACAGTTGCCATGGATACTGTTCAGGCTCATCCAGGTAAAACCAACCTCAAAGGCTGCCTGCACTACTTCCTGTCTTTTCCGTTCCACTTCTCGAATATATTCTGCTTCCTATAGAGAATCCAAATAAATTAACAATAATCACTCATTATTGGAGTCAAGTAATCAAGAGGTACAAATGGAATCAGGAAAGAAAAACAAGCCCGCCTTTGCATACTCAATATATTGTTCATAACAAGTATACTAGTGGATTGTATTAAATTCCACTACACTATTTGAATGCCACTAAAAGCACTGAAGAAAATGGGAACTTTAATTCCTTTGTTAAAACAGCATATTAAAGAATTCTGATTGATACATTAACATCTTTAAACAATTTAAATATGATTTTGATGGACCTTAATCATTTAGAGACATCAAGTTTTATGAATCTACAATCAAAGATGGTCCTTTGTAAAGGACTAGGAGGACATGGGTTTCCCCTATGATTAAACAGATTAACACCAATGTAAATAAATGGAAAGAACATTTTTACAACTTTCGAGAATTTATTTATTTATTCAGAATGATCACTGGTTTTATTTGAGTAATACTTTAAATTTCTTCATAAAAACATACATCCTCTTAATTCCTAGACAATAATTATATATAATTATTATTTGACAATAAAAAAAGGTAAATTCAATATGATTACACTATGGATGATCCCATGTGTTTCAACGGTTGGCATGATGTGGAGGTGCCGGTGTTGGCAGGGGGGAGGGCAAGGTCAGAAGTCACATGACACTGGGTTATAGTCCAACAGGGTTATTTGAAATCAAGCTTTCGGAGCGCTGCTTCTTCGTCAGGTGGAATGAAGAGACACAGGCACAAAATTTATAAGCAGAGAGATCAAAAGATCGTACAAATGGTGCAACTGGAGTGTCGACAGGCTGAACAATAAGTCTCTGCAGGTGATCAAAAGTGTCAGATGGCGTGAGTAAAGTGTCAACAGCTGAATAGCAAGTGAAGGGATGACCTATAATGTCCTATGACAAGGAGGAACACGACAAACACCCAAATACGTTGAAAGATGCCTTTGTAAGAACGGGATATGATTGATTGCCAGTTCCGGTGAACCACAGCAAGAAACCACAACGACCTCCTCAGAAGACAGACACGGGTCACAACCGATAGAGTACCCTTCCTCATCTGGTACTTCCCTGGAGCGTAGAAACTACGCGATGTTCTTTGCAGCCTTCAACATGTCATCAATGACAACAAGCATCTCACAAAGATCATCCCTATGACCCCACTTCTCATCTTCAAACAACCGCCAAACCTTAAACAGACCATTGTTCACAACAAACTACCCAGCCTTCAGGACAACGTCGACCACAACACCACACAATCCTGCCACGGCAACCTCTGCAAGACATATCAGATCATCAACATGGATACTACCATCACACGTGGGAACACCACCAACCACGTACACGGCCGATATGCATGTGGCTCGGCCAATGTTGTCTACCTCATACGCTGCAGGCAAGGATACCCAGAGGTATGATAGAGTTTGCGTGGTCTCGCCAATATATGGCAACAGATGAACGAACACCACACAACAATCACCAGACAGGAATGTTCCCTTCCCGTCGGGGAACACTTCAGTGGCCAAGGACATTCACCCTCCAATCATCAGGTAAGTGTCCTCCAAGGCGGCCTTCAAGATACAACACAATGCAGAATCACCAAGCAGAAACTGATAGTCACGTTCCAAACCCATGAAGATGGCCTCAACCATGATCTTGGGTTCATGTTGTGCTACATGTAACCCCACCACACTGTTCTGTATCTGGAAAATCTTCCTTACTGTCCTGTTTTGACACCATCACCTCGATAATTTGTTCTGATCTCTCTACCTTAATTAGTTTGTACAGCTTTGGATTACTTGTTACTTTGGTTAGAGCCTCAGCATGTCACTCTTATTCCCATCATGTCATTCTCGTCATTTGGTTTGTATCCAGCACCGCCTTATTTTTAATTTTTTGTAGTTATCTCTTTGCCTCAATTATTCGGATTATGGGTCATCCTTCCACTTGCTGTTCAGCTCTTGACACTTTACTCCACTGTCTGACACTTTTGATCACTGGCGTAGACTTATAATTTAGCCTGTCGACACTCCACTCACACCATTTGTATGGCCTTTTGATCTCTCTGTCTATAAATTCTGTGCCTGTGTGCTTCTCTTCACTTCACCTGACAAAGTGGCTATGCTCTGAAAGCTTGAGATTTCAAATAACCTTGTTGGATTATAACCTGGTGTCGTGTGACTTCTGACCTTAAATGGTTGAGAGAGGCTATGTTAGAGCTATTACAACAAGTAATCTAATTTTACTAAAACTGAAATTTTACTCCATCCAAATTCTCTATTTTGTCTCTCCCCAGCCATGCATCTCCTGTAGCAGACTGTGGGCAGCCATCAATCTTTTTAGCCTTGTAGGTGTTGCATTGACATGCCCAATAAAGTTATTGCCAATCTTGCGATTCCTCATTTTGGGGAAACCTTTGGATTCCACTTGAGGATGCTACATCCTGTCTACACTGTTCTACAAGATGAGAAATATTAAAAAAAGACAAGAGTCTGTAGCACCCTTCACAATCTCAGGATCACCCAAAGTGCTTTTCAGCTAATTAAGCAATTTTGAAGTGTCATCACAGTAGGAAATGGAGCAATGAATCTGAAAGCTTCCACAGAACAAGATAACCAGGGAAAACTTGTCCTCTTCTTTGAAAGAGTACCCTGGGGCAATCTGGGGCAGGGGAGGGGGCTTTGTTTAACACCTTATCTCAAAAGCAACACATTTGACAGAGCAGCAGACTTTCACTCTGAGATAGTAAGAACTGCACATGCTGGAGTCAGAGATAACAGTGTGGAGTTGGAGGAACACAGCAGGACAGGTAGGGTCAGAGGAGCTGGAAAGTTGACATTTTGGGTCGGGACCCTTCTTCAGAAATGCTAAATTCTAATTCAGAAATGCTAAATGACCCAAAACGTCAACTTTCCTGCTCCTCTGATGCTGCCTGGCCTGCTGTGTTCCTCCAGCTCCACACTGTGTTATAGCAGACTTTCACTTCTGCATTAGAATACATTCTTTCCAGATGCTCAAGTCTCTGGAATCAGATTTGAACACTCAACCTATTGACCCAAAAGGCGGGAATGCTAAATCACAGCTAAATCTGAATGATAACACTGCATAGAACCTGATCAAGTTAAATCAATTTAACCTAACATACCTGCTTAATATATTCATCCTCCTTCTCTTCATAGTTTTCCACTGCCTTTGCAACAGCTGTTTTGAACCTTAACAAAACAGAGTGAAGAGAGAATTCTGAAAAACTGGGGAAAAATAAATTTGGCCTTAGCGCATGTTTCTTTCATAATTGGTCTCTAATGAGAAAGTCCCCAGTCAGATACCCAGGTAGGCAACATGCTCTCTAACTGCTGTTAAAAGTTTGGTGCAATTTGTGCATCTCTGATACATGATCAATAACACCATATGGGGGCAAAAAACATAGGTAACAGTTGCCAACTCAAGCAGCAAGCATGAATTTGCTGCAGGAGTTCAAAAGGAGTTGAAGGACTTTATGGCTGAAACCACTGCCTATGGTGTTGGTTTATGTCTGTTGATAAGCTTGTAGAATGCATTTGATTAGAGTTAGGGAGTCGGATTTCCTCAGAAATCTTCAAATGTTCAAATTAACTTTCTTCCCAAATAAAAATCCCTTTCTACCCTTCTTCTAGGAGATTACATGGAGATGTGCTGTGAACATTGAAGACCATGATACTTGGCTGTAGTATGTTTGTTGGACCAGTTGGTCACTCCCTGCCTATCATTTTTGTATATTCATATCTGTTTATTATCATTGTGAGACAGTGTGTTGAATGTGTAACCGGAGTGCTGAAATCCACCACTTACTTCTCATAAGCATCGTTAGACAGAATAAACTTGTCTTTCAACTTGATGTCTGCTTTGTTTTCCCACCAAAATTTGTTGGTTTGCTTCAAGTGTTCTGAGCTATAAACGAAAAGTCAAAAAGTTAGTGTTTGAACGACTATCATATCAGTTGAGAAACTAGTGCTTCCTACTTTGTTGCAAATCAGAACAACATATGCAGCATTTTCATTCCACGTTTGCCCACTTATGACCACTGGAATATTTCACTATAGCAGGAAATTCTTTATTCTATACTGGAATAGAGTGGAGAAGAGGTGCTTTCCTCTGATACGGTACCTTACAAAGTGCTCTAGAAGCCCACCATACAGCACAGCAACGCTCTCATTTGTGATGTGTTTCTTCACCTCCCTTTTGCAGCAGTAGCACCAGAAGTTCTGCTCATGCTCAACGATGTCATATTTCTCCACTTGTACTGCTTTAAGAGACCGCTGTGCATCTTCAACCTGGGGGTTAATAGCAGCCACTTTTAGAAGAATGCTCAATTCTCAGTAAGCTGCTCTAGGTTATACTCATTGGATTCATTTTTAAAAGCAATAAAGGCAGAATCTTCTAAAAGTCTGGCAAATATCCTACTGCCAGCTTCTTAACTCAATTACAATTGTATTTGTTGAAAACTTGCAAGACTAACATCTTTCCCTTTATCTCACCAAGCATTCCCAATAATTATCCATAAGTACACTAAAATTATTTTCGCCAACAGAGAGATTGCAACCAAGTACAGAAGAGTAAGGGGCAATCCAGTCAAAGGGCTTAAGATGATTAATAGGATTTGCTCAGGTTGATGCATAAAAACTACTTCCCTTCCTTATAGAGTCAAAGCAGTGGCACAACCTTACAATTCTCGACAGGCAGTTCAGTAGTGTCAGGAGATAGCACTGCTTCACAGGAAAGGTTCTGGAAATCTGGAATTCTCTCAGAGAAGCTGCTGATATTGGGGGAAGTTGGGGGGGGCGGGGTGGAGGGGGGAGATGTCAATTAACATGTTAAGTAAGAAATGGATAGATTTTTGGTTAGACAATGTTATTAAGGTATGCAGAAGTAAGGTAGTAACATGGAGTTCTTACAGCTATGTTCTAACCGAATATGAAATACTGTTGTTTACTGTTCATCCTAAACAAGGGAAGTACTAACAGTCTTGGGAAACACATGATTGAATTTTACACCCATTACTGTCTATACGGTTTACTTCATAAACATGCTTTGGAGTGGTCATTTTCATTGCAAACACCACACTGGACAGTCAGGCAACGCACTCAAAAGGAACTCATGACAGTATCTGGGATCACAACAATAACAGGTGAACTGTTACAAATTTCATTGCTCATCCCAAGATCTACTGTCCCATATGACTTAATGCACAAGGTCACAAGATGAGGTTTGCCCTTTTCAAATCAGATGCAAAAGAGAATGTCTGGAGTGAGCTCAAACAATCACATTGTGTAATTCTTTATTAGTTAACAAGAACTGATTTTGTTCAGCTGCATTCACATTCACTAGGTAGTGACCTGGAATTGAGTGCACATTGATTGAAGTGCACCGACAAAACTCCCTGCCGGAAACGACACTAATTTGTTGCTAAATCAAAAAAAAACAAATTACTCACTTGTAATTCAAACAGAATACACAAGGTTGTTGTAAACATTTTTTTTTAAAACTTAATAACTGAAAATCCAATTAAGAAACTTCAGACTAAGAAGATTAAAAAGTGAAAAAAAGAAGTGTGACAAAAAGGCACTCTGCACACTGGTAGACTATTGACCTAGACATAAGTGGAATGTGCAATTATATCTCACAAATCCCACAGCTGGAAAGGCACCAAGAGGACTTCCTCCTGAAAGCTACAGGATTATATTCATCAATTACAATCTGAACTCAAACTACAGGGTTTGAATACATCATGAAGGTGAAGTGAGAATAATTGAACCTGACTACACCGTAATTTGAAAGGTCATAAATAGGTAGAGACTTTTTTTTTCAAAAAAATGTTGATTGATATTACTCAATGGAAAGAAATTACATACTATACATTTATAGGTCGAAGCTGGCAATGCCTACATTTATCACCTGTTCCTAACTACCCGAGAAAGTGGAGAGGAGTTATCTTCTTGAAACACTGCAACCGGTGTGGTGTTAAGTGCATCCAGAGTACTGTTAAAACAAAAACTGAAAAAACAACTGGGAACTACTTTTTTTCAAAGAACATTGTAAACAGAACACAGTGGCATCTTATGCATTTAAAATAAACAGCAGAGCACTTTGTGTCTGACTTCAACTGCTTGCACAACAGTACTCAAATTCTTAAAGATACTGTTGAACAAGCTACAATTGTTCTTTTAGCAGCAGTAATGATAGTCGTGATTCGATTCAACATTAGTGACCCTCCTTTTCCAATTCCTTTTAAAAACATGACATGGACATGCATGTTGAATCACTAGCTGAGTTGCAGAATTACCTTACGTAATGGTCAGAAGGCTGTTTCAGAGACACTGATAAAGGTGTACGAGATGGAGACCCTAACCATCAGTCATTGCACAAGACAAAAATCTATTGCCATGGTTCGCTAGGCTTAAACCATCAATTGCTGAGCTAGAGAGGAGGGAGATCCAAATATCATTCTTTAGTCTGTGCTGAGGTGACAACAGGGAAATGCCAACTAACCTCAGTGCCTCTGGATGACAGGAAGAAAAGTAATCAGGATACATGCTCCTAATAATTATTTAGCTATGTTTGCTTCAATTACATGTGTGCTTTGTAAGGAAAAGGTTGAGTTCAAATGTAATGCCCATTGTAGTCCAAAAGTCAACACAAGCTTAAATGAATCAATTATGGCCACTTTAGTGAGATAAAAGAGGACAAGCACGTTGAATAAATGACACCAGGAAGAAGTCAACAACTTCAGCTAAGAGGGGGATAAGATGATGGAAATCAGGTAACGTAACTAGAGATTAAAATAAATAGAATGAATCAGTTGCAAGTAGAAGATAAAGATGACTTGAGTGATTCTCACCTTTATAAGCAAGAAAACTGAAATCTAGTGGGCTGATATGTAAAATACTGTCACTCCGTACGTTGCAAGCTAAGCTGCATACACATTAATGCGAATCTATGTAGTGTAGCAGACAGTCACAAATAGTGGCAGACAATATAGGCTTGTGACAACCATTTCACCGAGCAGAGAGTGTGGGGCTTGGTAGGAGTCACAGTAGAAATCAAAAGAAAATCAAATTTGTCTTTGACAAATTCGAAACATGGGCTGTGTTTTGAGAAATTCATGCATGTTATTAACTTCCTAACTGTTTTGTTTTTGGATAGCAACCTGGTGAGGTTCCAATCCTCTGAGAAGTCACCACCCCACCTGTAATTTCAATGTACCACAGAGCGATATTCAGAATTGGCAACATCTTCCTTGGTGAATTGTAAATTAGAAATGGTAGACAATAAATAAAAATGCATTAATAAATAAATTACATAATATGATATACTGGAGACAGTAAGGACTGCAGATGCTGGAAGCCAGAGTCAATAGATGTGAAGCTGAAAAAACATAGCAGGTCAGACAGCATCCAATGAGTAGGAAGTCTATGTTTCGGGCTGAAACCATTCATCAGGAGTGGGGAGCCCAGAAGTAAATAGGAGGGAGGGGGTGCGGTTGGGGAAGGTTAGGTGGGATGATGATAGGTGGATGCAGGTAGTGGGTTATTGTGATTGGTCAGTGGGAAGGGTGGAGCGGATAAGTGAGTAGGAAGACAGACCGGTTAGGTCAGGAGGAGGGGTAGGGCTGGACCTGGGATAAGGCTGGGGGTGAAGGGATTTAGAAGCTGGTGAAGTCAATATTAAAGCTCCCAAGGCAAAATAACAGGTGTTGTTCCTCCAGTTTATGTTTGGCCTCACTCTGACAGTGGAGGAGGCCAAGGATGAACATGTCACCAGAGGAATAGGAGGGAGAATTAAAATAAATGACAACCGGAAGTTCGGGTTGGTTGGTGCGTGCAGAGTGCAGATGCACTGCAAACCGATCCCGATTTTGCGTTTGGTCTTCCCAATATAGAGGGGACCACACTGGGAGCAACAGATACAATAGATCAGGTTGGGCGACGTGCAGGTGAACCTCTGCTGGATTTGGGAGGAGTGTTTCGGGCCTTGGACAGAGGTGAGAGGGGAGGTGAAGGGCACGTGTTGCACCTCTTGCAATTGTAGAGAAATGTATCAGGTGTGGTGGAGAAGTTGGAGGGGAGTGTCGAGCTGACAACGGAGTCACTGAATGAACGGTCCCTGTAGAAAGTGGACAGGGATGGGGAAGGAAATACCTTTTTGGTGGTGAGGTCTGATTGCAGGTGGTGGAAATGTTGGAGGATGATGCGGGGGATTCAGAAGTTGTTGGGGTGGTATGTGAGGACTAAGGGGACTCTATCTTTACTGTTATTTGCGGGGAGGGGGGCAGAAGTGAGCAAAATGGAGGAGATGCAGTTCAGCGCATACTTAGAGGAGGGGCAATTCCAATCCCTAAAGTAGGAGGATATCTGAGATATCCTGGAGTAAAACACCTAATCCTGGGAGCAGATGCAGCAGAGGTGGAGGAATTGAGAGTATGGGATAGCACTTTTATATGAGGGTAGGTGAGAGGAGGTGTAGTTGGGGTAGTTGATATTTTGATTTTTAAAAGAGACATTCTTTTGAAAGGCCACTGGACTCAAAACGTTAACCCTGCTTTCTGGACCCTCTTGTGGCACAGTGCTAATGTCTCTACCCCTGGACCGAGTGTCTTGGGTTGAAGTCCCACTTACTCCAGAGGTATGTAACATCTCTGAAAATGGGATTAGATTAATTTAGCATATCTAGTCAGCATGGACGAGTTGAACCAAAGAATCCATTTCCGTGCTGTACATCTCTATGACTCTATAACAGGTTGATTAGAATGGTTAAATCAAATTTAAAAAAAAACGTTTTCTCACCACAGATGCTACCACACCTACTGAGATTCCCCAACAATTACTGTTTCGAGTTTCCATCATCTGCAGTTCCTTGTTTTATTTTATTTTTCCGAGCTGGTTACCTGCAGCGTTTAGTCGGTTGTAAAGACAGAGCGGGTCAAAGCCCAGGTGCTGAACACAATCTTTCCCAGGTCCCACCCCCTACCCATCTTTCTGCCACATATTTATTCATATAGACGCAGCGCCTTTAAATAAAGCCATTCTACCTCCCAAACCGGGAAGTGAAGCCCGACCTCCAGCATCTCCCAAAGGGCCTGGCCTTTCAGGCTCACCCTCCCCCTCCAAGTGGGCTCTAGCTCCTTTTACCTTCCGCAGGAAGCGGCCTAGCAACGCCCCGAGCCTCTCCTGGTGCTTCAGGCCGTACACATGTCCCCAGCCCCTGAACGAGGTCTGCCGGCAAACCTCGCAGTAAAAGACGGCCTCCGACCGCGCCGCTTTCCTCTGCTTCTTCCCCATTCAGGAGGTCCCGGTCACTCACATCGTCCTCCTGTCACCCACCTCCTTCAAGGGGGAAGGGGTATAGATGCCCCAACCCGAGCGATGAACTCCTCCCCTTACTCCCGCGCAGAGCGCCACCTACCCAGGAGGACCAGATCAACGGTTACATTTCTATAGCACCTCCTGGAGGGCTTTACAGATAATGAAGCACTTTCTGAAGTGAACTCCCACACACCAGAACAACAAGGTGCAGAGCTGAATGAACACAGCAGGCCTAGGAGCAGAAAGGCTGACGTTTCGGGCCTAGACCCTTCATCAGAAATGGGGGAGGGGAAGGGGGTTCTGAAATAAATAGGGAGAGAGGGAGAGGCGGATAGAAGATGGATAGAGGAGAAGATAGGTGGAGAGGAAACAGACAGGTCGAAGAGGTGGGGATGGAGCCAGTAAAGGTGAGTGTAGCTGGGGAGTTAGGGAGGGGATAGGTCAGTCCAGGGAGGACGGACAGGTCAAGGGGGCGGGATGAGGTTAGTCGGTAGGAGATGGGGGTGCAGCTTGAGGTGGGAGGAGGGGATAGGTGGGAGGAAGAACAGGTTAGGGAGGCAGGGACGAGCTGGACTGGTTTTGGGATGCGGTAGGGGGAGGGGAGATTTTGAAGCTTGTGAAATCCACATTGATACCATGGGGCTGCACATCTGCCAATGTGGTATACTGCATCCGCTGTACCCATTGTGGCCTCCTCTACATTGGGGAAACCAAGCAGAGGCTCGGGGAACGCTTTGCAGAACACCTACGCTCGGTTTGCCATAAACAACTTCACCTCCCAGTCGCAAACCATTTCAACTCCCCCTCCTATTCCTCAGACGACATGTCCATCCTGGGCATCCTGCAGTGCCATAACGATGCCACCCGAAGGTTGCAGGAACAGCAACTCATATTCCGCTTGGGAACCCTGCAGCCCAATGGTTTCAATGTGGATTTCACAAGCATCAAAATCTCCCCTCCCCCTACCGCATCCCAAAACCAGCTCAGCTCATCCCCGCCTCCCTAACCTGTTCTTCCTCCCACCTATCCCCTCCTCCCACCTCAAGCCGCACCCCCATCTCCTACCTACTAACCTCATCCCGCCGCCTTGACCTGTCCGTCCTCCCTGGACTGACATATCCCCTCCCTAACTCCCCACCTACACTCACCTTTACTGGCTCCATCCCCGCTTCTTCGACCTGTCTGTTTCCTCTCCACCTATCTTCTCCTCTATCCATCTTCTATCCGCTTCTCCCTCTCTCCCTATTTATTTCAGAACCCCCTTCCCCTCCCTCATTTCTGATGAAGGGTCTAGGCCCGAAACGTCAGCCTTTCTGCTCCTATGATGCTGCTTGGCCTGCTGTGTTCATCCAGCTCTGCACCTTGTTGTCTCGGATTCTCCAGCATCTGCAGTTCCTACTATCTCCCACACACCAGGCCTTGTTATCATATATTCTGCTATTGCACACAACCCATTGTTAGCCATTAGCAGTCCCCATTAATAGTTATGCACCCTCCTTGCCAGATTGTTATCCACTCCTTTGTCCAACTATTCTTTTCTGTCTTTGGCTCCATCTCCAACTATCGTTCACTCCTTACCATCTTCCCCCGATCCCATCAGTATTGTAAACTGACATTTTCCTAGTTCCCATCAGTTCCGAGGAAAGGCTGCTCAACCTGAAATGTGAATTCTGATTTCTCTCCACAGATGCTGCCAGACCTGCTGAGCTTTTCCAGCAATTTCTGTTTTTGTTTCTGATTTCCAACATCTGCAGTTCCTTCCGTTTTTACTGTTTGAAGTGTCGTGCCCACTGTAAGCTGGGAAGCACAGCAGCCAATTTGTCTACAGCCAGTTCTCAGAAACTGCAATGTGATCATTGCATTACCTGTTTTTACAATGTTAATTTAGGGATGAATATGGGCCAGAACATTGAGGGTACCCACTCCCCTGCTCTTCTTCCAGGTAGTGACATGGGATATTTTGCATCCACTGGAGAGGGAAGACCAGGCCTCAGTTTAACTTCTCATCTAGATGGCACTCCCAAAGTGTAAGACTCCCTCAGTATTGCATCAGCCTTGATTTTCTGTGCTACATGAAAATTGACAGCAAATTTTACACAAAAAGTGGTTAAGTATCTGGAATGCATGGCTAGAAATAGAAAGAAACAATATCAAGGTTTAAGAGGCATCTCAACAGATACATGAATAGGTAGAGAATAGAGGGATATAGACCACAGAGACAAAAGGCATCCTGTATTGGTGCAGGCTTGGTAGGAGAGCACACTGACATAGAATCATTTTACCTTAAAGCATTAAAGAAGACTATTTGACCCATTGGGTTTATGCTAGTCCTTTGGAAGAGCTATCCAATCAGTCACAGTTAAGTAAGGGCAACCCCTGGAATCGCTTAGTCTATGCAACATAAGCAGCATGGAGAAGAAAGTGACACATCTTCCAACTTGTCAAACGGAAAGTTCATTCAGGTTCAGAGAGTCTAGTAATCCAGACACATAAAATGCTCGTCAGAGAGAAGATCAGAACTTCTTCAGGGTGGGCCAGAGAGGGCATCAGTGCCATCAAACAGAAGAACTGAACATCCTCCACACACCCAGGCTATTGCTATGGGGGACATGGATTCAAATCCCACTGCAGATGGTGGAATCTGAATTGTTAATAAATCTAGAATTGAAAACTAGTCTCAGCGACGGTGGCCATGACAACAATCGTGGATTGTTGAATTAACCCATTCTGACTTACTAATGTCCTTTCACGGAGGGAAATCTGACGGTACAGGCACAATGGGTCGAATGGCCTTTTTCTGTTCTGTAAATTTTAAATTCTATCATCTTTACCTAGTCTGACCTACAGGTGACTGCAGACCCTCAGCAATGTGGTCAGCTCCTAACTCCTCTGAAATGCGAAGGGCAATCAGGGATGGGCTACAATGCCAGCCTTGCCAATGGCGACCACATCCAATGACAAAGAAAAGTAGAAGTCACCTGATGGGAATTCAGTGATGCTAAATCTCATCTTTCAAAGGAATCACAGTCCCCTTGGGTGACACCATATTACTTTTTGCCTGTTAGCTGACCTGGAAGCAAAACCCAACCTTTCTCCTTTCATCATACTTTGAGAGGACATGGGCTTTCACAAGAGAAGCAAATCAGGATTGACAAATGGCAGTGTAATTTCAGTCCGTAGACAGTAATTAAATCCGAGGGATAAATTTGAAATAAAAGTGCCGCGCAAAAGCATATAGATCGTTTCTTGAGAAAACATGCCAAAGGGAGCACGTTTGGACTTCTGAATCAACGGAAGGTGCAATGCCCCTTTTAATTATTTTCCCCGTCTGAACGCTCGCGATAGCTTTAGTTCTGTTGTGTATGTGTGTGTACATGTGTGGGTTTTTCTAGTTGGAAGAGGAGAGGAGAGACACAGATATCCGTGGGTGAAATCGCAGCGACATATGGTGAGGAGAGCCGGCAGCGTGCTTCAGTTTCAAAGCGCCGTGATGTATCAAACAGCGCGCGGGTTACATTGTAGCGAGCTGGGGGGAAAATTTACCTCGTTTCTCCCAGCGTGTGAAAGATTGCCCATATCAACCCACACCTTTCCCCTCACTTGTCTCTTCCTTTTCATTTTCTAACTGACCTGGCAGTTACAATTTTGGCAGGTATCTCTGTCTTAATTCCACCCACCCCCCTCAAAAAAAACTTAAGTCCAATATTAAGTGTAGCAATTTTGTTCAGCCCTCGTCCCATTCGAAAGCCATTCGGGGCTTCCTATTTATTTTGGAGGGGTGGGGGGCGTACAGGGACTGATCTGGCCGGATTCAGATGGAGTTGGGAGAGAGGCGGAACGGAAAGAGTTCTGCCTGGATGCAGTTTGAATTTCCAGGGATATCTTCTCTGTGAGTGTTTTGTCTTTAAAGCACCTCGGTTTCAGTTGCATGTGTGGGGATTGGTTTGGGGGCATGACCTTAGCATCGCTGGAACTCTGCCTCCAGCACCGCCTGTCATGTGCCGTGAAAATGCAGGGAAAAGAAACAAGTGCATTTGCGTCGTGCCTTTCATGACACACCAGGCACATTTAAGAGCTTTGCAGCGTGTGAAGTACTTTTGAAGCCTAGTCGCTTGTGTATTGTGCCAAATGTTGTGGACGAGTTGAGCTCAGCAAGTTCCCCACTAAACAGCAATAGGAGAATGACCAAATCATCTGTTTTTGTGATGTTGATTAAGTGAGCAACATTGACTGGGATAACAAGGTGTAGAGCTGGATGAACAGACCGGGGAACACTTCCCTGCTCTTCTTTGAAATGATGTCATTGGATCTTTTTACCTGAGAGGGCCTTGGTGTAATGCCTGTCTTGAAAAAATGGCACATCTGACAATGCAGCACCATCTTTGTCCTGCACTGGGGAAGAAGCTTTGGTCTGCACTCATGTACTGGGTTGGTAAAGTTGAAGGGCTTTGTTCGCTGCTTGGAATTGAACAGGGGTGAATATTGTATGTGGATAGTTACACCCCGTTCCTGCCCCTAGAAACTGTCAGCCAGGAGGCTCAAATCACTCCTTTTCTTCATTTATATTCTCGCCATATCATGTTTTCTTTTCTATCTCAGCACGTTTCATTGTTATTTGTGTGTAGGCCTATTCTTTCCATTTGGAACTTCTGAGCCAGGCCACTCACCAGGAACACGGGGTGCTGTTGTGCAAAGCTGGTCAGATTGGACACAAAATAAAATGTCAAATATTTTCCTAGCACTGTGTTTTGATGCATATACCCCCAATCCATGAGAATTTCATTCCTTTTTGAATGAAGCGAACCATCCCAGGCTGGGGCAAGTGGTTTAACACTTGAAACTTTTCCTAAATTTCATTGCTGCACGTGATTTACTACTCGTACGTTCATTCCTGCTTGCAAGTGGACATAAATGAAAACAAACTATTACCTCATCCTAGTGACAGTTCCATCAGAATAAAGCTAAACAGCAATTCACAATCGGAGTCATTCACTATCCTGTTCTAAGCCTTCCTCACTGCAGCACTGTTGTTTCTGTGACAGAAGGTTGTAGGTTTAAGCCTCCCTGCAGATCTTGAGTACCTTACCTGGGCTTTCACTCCAATGCAGTACTGAGTGTATGCTACACTGTCATTTTTGGATGAAATGTTACACCCAGAAAGTAAATGATTTCCAAAAGCAAAATACTACAGATGCTGGAAACCTGAAGTAAAGACAAAAAAAAGGCTGGAAAAGCTCAGCAGGTCAGACAGATGGTGGGCTGCTCAACTGAAATGGTAACTCTGTTGCTCTTCACAGATGTTCCCTGACCCAGAGTCATTTTTAATGTAAAAGATATCGACTTTTTGCAAAAATAATGTAGAGTAGTTTTGCTCAATTTTCACAACTGGTGCCGTTAAACCAGGTGATGTGGTCGTTGATCTCATTGCTGTTTGTTGGAGGTTGTAACCCCTGCTGCCTGTTGGTTTTGCCTCATTTACAATAGTGATTGTACTTCAAAAGTATTTCTTTGGCTGTGGTGCATTCTGTGAGGAAAAAAGAAAAGGTGGATTTTTGCAAGGTCTGATTCTTGGGTAGCCCTGGGGACAGAGTCAGTAATGTCTCTGCTTCTGAGCTAGAAATACCACATCCCAGTCCCACTCGAGGACTTGATAGTCAGAGAAGGTGAGTTCATGACCAGGAAGGTTGATTGGTAACCTGCGAGTCCTGCCCATACGCTGACAGCAGGCCGTGAGAGTGGGAATGTCTTCCACCTGACTGTCGTGCTTGATGTGGCATTGTGTTTGTCATGTCTTTGGGGACAGGCTTGTAACCTGCGCAAAAGAGATGCAAGTTACAGAAGCAGAGCAAGCTCTTGTTTTCTTTCCTGCCTTGTGCATCACTGGATGATGAAAGCTTTCTGTGTCCATTTTTCTTTGGTATATTTTCATGACCTGAGAGCAGAGGATACCAACCCGGGCTTGGGTGCAGAAACACTGGTGACCCCCTAATTATTTCACTGAAGTGCAGTTAGCTCAATTGGCTGAATAGCCAGAGTTGGAGTTCAGGATAAAGTCAACGTGGTTTCATTCTCTGCAGTGGCTGTGGTAGTTCATTGAAGCCCTGCCTCCTTACCTTACCCCACATTTAAGGAATGGATACTCTTAAAGTATTCATAACCGATTGTCTCTCGTTAATGGAGAGAGATGCCTATGGTCCATGTGGGACTATCACTCCTTACGTTACTCCTTCAGTCAGGAGTATTTTTTGACATGCCAGCCGAAACTAATCTGATATCTCTGCATACACTTTTAACAGAGATGCTTGCCTGGTGAGCAGCTTTATTATGGACATACAGCACAGAAACAGGCCATTCAGCCCGATCAGCTATGATGGTTAGCAAAACATAGAAAACTAAGTCCCCCAGATCAAGAAGTAGTTATTTGTCCATCAATATTTTTGACATTTTATTCTGTTGATAAATCAATTGAATCTCTGTCCTGTGAGTTTATATCTGAAACCTGAATAAGAAGCATCTGGAGATCTAACCTTTGTTTACAAGTCAGCTGAAGAAATGTTGAAAAATGTTATTTTGAAAAGTATTTAACATCCAGTCTAAACCTTCTATGTTCTACATGTTTTGATTGCAGTCATAAGTTATATTGCTGTTTGTATTTGATTGTGGATGTATAAAATGGAAATTAATGCATAACATGTATTCATTTAGATTTGCTTAGTTGAAAGCTCTCAACTGAAGGTTTTATCTTTAGCAGACCTTGGTTACTTGGTTTTTAAAAATAAAGACCTTTTTTTTAATCTAATTGGATGAATGCCTGTAATAGAGATTTAGAAGGGACGGTTTGGTTTTTTTCTTGCCAATTTTCTTTCCTACTGGGGTTAACCCTTTTACTGGGAATATGGTTTCACAAGCAGCACCAATCTCAGAACCTTGCTAAGATGAACATGATTCGTTATGTCAGCCTTGACAGTGAGTATCACAGTTGAGTCTGATCCTTTATTCCTTCACTTTTCCATGCACACTCTTTGCAGGGATTTCTGCTGAGTGATTCAGGAATTGTAGTTGCTCATGAAGACCAGCTTGATATCTGCCTTGGTGAAACTCACCTAGTTTAGCCCTGACTGGGCAGTTAACATCATGTGATTTTTGTGTTGGAGCTGTCAAAATACACTCTCTTTTATTTAAAAAAGAGATGCATTTATATAGCTCCTTTCACACCCTGAGGTTGTTTCAAAGCATTTTACAGACAATTAACTGCTCTTGAAGTGTGATCACTGTAAAAACACGACAGCCAATTTTCTCACAGCAAGGTCCCAGAAGTAGCAATGTGTTAATGATCACAGTTTGTTATTGTGATGTTGTTTGATGGGTTAATGTCAGCTAAGACACTGTAAGAGACCATAAGATATAGGAGCAGAATTAGGCCATTTGGCCCATCGATCTACTCTGCCATTCAATCGTGGCTGATAGGTTTGTCAACCCCATTCCCCTGCCTTCTCCCCATAATCCTTGATCCCCTTACTTACCAAGAACCTGTCGATCTCTATCTTGAAGACGCTCAATGCCTTAGCCTACACAGCCCTCAGCAGCAATGAGATCCAACGATTTACCACCCTCTGGCTGAAGAAATTCCTCCTCATTTCAGTTCTAAAGGGTCCTCCCTTCACCTTGAGGCTGTGCCCTCTGGTCCTAGTCTCTCCTACTAGTGGAAACATCTTCTCCATGTCCACTCTATCCAGGCCTCTGAGCATTCTATAAGTTTCAGTGAGATCTCCCCTTGTCCTTCTAAATTCCATTGAGTACAGACCCAGAGGCTTCGGCCGCTCCTTATATGACAAGCCCTTCATCCCCAGGATCATTCTTGTAAACCTCTTCTGGACCTCTCCTCTGGAGAGTGGTGGCTGTGTGGAATGCACTGCCAGCAGTGGTAGTGGAGTCAGATGTATTAGAGACATTTAAGCGACTCTTGGATAGTATTATTGTTAGAGGCCAGTCAATTACCAAAGGTCATAGATCTAAGATAATAGTAAAATGTAGGGAATGGATGACAGTAAAATGTAGGGAATGCAGGGTAGTTTGATCTTAGAGTAGGATAATAGGTCGGCACAACATCATGGGCCAAAGGGCCTGTACTGTGCTGTACTGTCCTATGTTCTATGTTCTTCTTGGACCCCTCCAAAGCCAGCATATCCTTCCTTGGATAATGGGCCCAAAACTGCACACTAGGGAGAACTTGCCTGCTTTTCTTTAAAGCAGTCCCGTGAGATTATCTTAATGTCTAACTAAAAGGGTAGATAGCAGAGGTTTAACATCTCATCTGAAGGGTAACGTTGCCAACAGTGCAACACTCCTTCAAACATGCACTGTAGAGTTAATTTTAATTTTTTGTACCATATAGGGGAGGCGATGGCCTAGTGGTATTATCACTGGACTGTTAATCCAGAGACCCAGATGTTCTTCTGGGGACCTGGGTTTGAATCCCACCATGGCAGATGGTAGAATTTGAATTGGATAAATATCTGGAATTAAGAGTTTAATGATGATCATGAATCCTTTGTCGATTCTTTTAAAAACCCATCTGGTTCACTAATGTTCTTTTAAGGAAGGAAACTGCCACCCTTACCTGTCTGGCCTACATGTGATCCCAGACCCACAGCAAAGTGGTTGACTCTTAACTGCCCTCTGGGCAATTAGGGATGGGCAATAAATGCTGCTTAGCCAGCGATGCCCTCATCCCATGAATGAATAAAAAAAGCCAGGCTCTCGAGTTAGTTTGGTCAGTTGGTTGGACAGCTGGTTTGCAATGCAGTGTGATGCCAATGGCATGGTTCAATTCCTGCAATGGCTGAGGTTAGCGTGAAGGACTCTCCTTCTCAACCTCTCCCCTTGCCCAAGGTGTGGTGATCCTCCGGTTAAACCACCACCAGTCATTCCTCTCTAATGACAGTGCAGCCCTATTAGGACTATGGTGACTTTACCTTGTCTCATTATTACGACTGCCACCAGCAGCGTACAATGTTCTACTTCCTCTCACATGATATTTCGAGCTCATGGAACAATTCGGGGATAAAACCAAAAAGCAACATCTTGTGCCACTATCAGAATCTTATGTGTATGTGTTATAATAGGTATAGAGTCATACAGTATTACAGCGCAGAATGAGCACATTCAGTTTATTGAGTCTGCACCAGTGTCAAGCACCTATCTATTGTAAGCCCATTTCCTTGTATTTGGTCCATTGCCTTTTATGCTATGTCATTTCGAGTGTTCGTAAGGATTCCCACCTCGACCAACCTTTCAGACAGTGAGTTCCAGATACTCATTACCCTCTGGGTGAAAAAAAATTCCTAAATCCCTTCTAAACCCCTTGCCCTTTATCTTAGATCTATGACCTTTGGTAATTGACTGGCCTCTAACAGTAAAAGTTTATTCCTATTGACCTTATCCGTGCCCTTAATACTTTTCAACTTGCTCCAAGGAAAACACACATCATTGCTGGGCAACATTCTGTGAATCTCCTCTGCACCTTCTCCAGTGCACTAATGTCCTTCCTATAGTATGGTTACCAGAGCTGCACACAGTACTCCAGCTGTGGCCTAACTAATGCGCTATACAGCTCCATCATAATCTCGCAACTCTTGTATTCTGTGCCTTGACTAATAATGGCAAGTGTCCCATGTGCTTCTTAACCACCCTAACACCCTGCCCGGTTGCCTAACACATCAAAGTGTGTTTGCATAGGTTTATAGTTATTTCAGGAAACATTTTATAAAGTTACAAAGTTGTTTGTTACAAATAGTGCGAGTAAAGACATTATCAATTTTGGATGCAACATTCTGACTTAGAACCTTTTAATTACAGAAATCTGTGACCATGAGGTCTTCAATATCAGTTGGTAAGTATTTAAAAAATATTTTTGGATATCTGTTTTAATTATTATAAAGTGTATTACTCCTTTTCTGATTGTCCGCAGCTGCCATATTGAACCCCATTCTTCTGTGACTGTAGCCCTTTAAATGCTACTCAAGGTGTTGTCTTTAACACGTGTGTGTGTGTCGGTCTGTGTGTGAAAATATTTCATTATAGAGAAGATCTTGAGCTGCAACTAACGTGGTGGTAGAATTTCCAGGAATTTCTCCTGCTCCTACTGGAGGCACCTTGAATGGATTATGGATTGGTGTGTTTGGTTGCCTTCCATGGCCATCAAATTCGAGATGGGGCTTGAAGCCATAGGCTCTGGTCCAGAGGTTGTGGAACTACACACTGCTCCACAAGACCCAAGAGCACCCAGTCACTGCTTGTAATGTCCATTCTTCGGTTAGAATCATTGAATCCCTACAGTGCGGAAAGAGGCCATTTGGCCCATCGAGCCTGCACTGCCCCTTCAAAGAGCATCCCAACCAGACCTACCACCCCTCCCCTCACCATATCTCTGTAATCCTGCATTTCCCATGGTTAATTCACCTAGCCTGCATATCTCTGGACACTTTGGGACAATTTACCATGACCAATCCACCTAATTTGCACACCTTTGGACTGTGGGAGGAAACTGAAACCCATGCAGACATAGGGAGAATGTGCCAACTTCTCACAGATAGCCACGCAAGACTGGAACCGAACCAGGGTCTCTGGTGCTGTGAGGCAGCAGTGCTAACCACAGTGCCACCTCATGTAGGTATGGATGATACCCGAGGGAGCCCTGGCCTGTGTGGTTCAGTTTTATAATAACAACAACAATTTCTACTTAATGTCCGTACATTATCTCAAGATACTTTGCTGGAGTGTTATAAAGGCAAGTTTTTAAGAAATATCTTGAAGGAGAAAGGCAAGGTGGAGTGGAGAGACTTCCAAAGCTTAGTGGGGTGAAGCAACTGCAGGTATTGGTGGAGTGATTAACATCAGGAATTCTTCAGAGACCAGTTAGTGGAGCAGATATCTTGGACGCTTCTGGGCCTGGAGGAGATTACAAAGATGGGAAGAGATGAGACCATGAAGGAATTTCAAAACCAGCATGAGGACTGGAAAGCCTGGAGGGGGAACTGCAGCAGTGGAAAGGACAGTTGGGCTCTCTTGAGTTATCTTTTTTTCTTTTCTTATTCTAAGTTACTGTGAATGGCACCGTGTATGTACGGCGAAGGTACACACTTTTCACTGTATTTTTACATTGAACACAAGTGACAATAAATGATTCAATTCAATCCAATTCATTTATAAAATCAAGGTGTTGTCAGTGAGTGCAGGGACACTAAGTGAATGCAACTTGTGGAAGTAAAGATGTGCCATTGTGCTTTGGATTGCCTGAATTTTATGAAGATTAGAATGTTGGAGATGAGTCAGGAGTATGATGAAACAGCAAAGTATAGAGGGAATGAAATGAGGAAAAAGAGTTTTGGCAGCAGACGAGCTAAATCATGTGATGTTACCAAGGTGGAAATAACAGCATTGACAGACATCTTTGTATCCTGTTTGGTCACAGGTGAGTTCCCAGAGGATCGGAGAGTAGCTAATGCTGTCCCATTGTTTGAGAAGGGTAGCAGGGATAATCCTGGAAATTGCAGGCCTGTGAGTCTCACATTGGCGGTAGGGAAATTATCAGAAAAGATTCTCGGGGACAAGATCTATACATATTTAGAAGCAAATGGACTTATTAGCGATAGACAGCATGTTTTTGTGCAGGGAAAGTTATGCCTCACTAAATCGATTGAGTTTTTTGAGGGAGATGTGCGAGGCAAGTTTTTCACACAAAGTGTGGTGAGTGCCTGGAATGCACTGCCAGAGGAGGTGGTGGAAGCAGACACAATAGTGGCATTCAACAAGCACCTAGACAAATATATGAATAGGAAGGGAATAGAGGGATACAGATCCTGTAAGTGAAGATAGTTTTAGCATGGAAGGGAAAAATGTGTCGGTGCAGGCTTGGAGGGCGGAAGGGCCTGTTCCTGTGCTGTACTGTTCTTTGTCCTTAACTGGTCTTTATGGTGGTGTAGCTATATGGTCAGCATATTATCTTGAGGTTACATATGACACCAAGGCTGCAAACATAGACTGGTTTAACATCATGTAGAACTGGATGAACATAGCAGGCCAAGGAGCAGGAAGGCTGACGTTTCGGGCCTAGACCCTTCTTCAGAAATGGGGGAGGGGAAGGGGTTTCTGAAATAAATAGGGAGAGAGGGGGAGGCGGGTAGAAGAGAAGATAGGTAGAGAGGAGACAGACAGGTCAAAGAGGCAGGATGGAGCCAGTAAAGGTGAGTGTAGGTGGGGAGGTAGGGAGGAGATAGGTCAGTCCAGAGAGGACGGATAGGTCAAGGCCTCCTCTACATCGGGGAAACCAAGCAGAGGCTCGGGGACCGCTTTGCAGAACACCTACGTTCGGTTCGCACTAAACAACTGCACCTCCCAGTCGCGAACCATTTCAAATCCCCCTCCCACTCCTCAGACGACATGTCCATCCTGGGCCTCCTGCAGTGCCACAACGATGCTACCCGAAGGTTGCAGGAACAGCAACTCATATTCCGCTTGGGAACCCTGCAGCCCAATGGTATCAATGTGGACTTCACAAGTTTCAAAATCTCCCCTCCCCCTACCGCATCCCAAAACCAGCCCAGCTCATCCCCGCCTCCCTAACCTGTCCTTCCTCCTACCTATCCCCTCCTCCCACCTCAAGTCCCACCCCCATCTCCTACCTACTAACCTCATCCCGCCCCCTTGACCTGTCTGTCCTCCCTGGACTGACCTATCTCCTCCCTACCTCCCCACCTACACTCACCTTTACTGGCTCCATCCCGCCTCTTTGACCTGTCTGTCTCCTCTCTACCTATCTTCTCCTCTATCCATCTTCTATCTGCCTTCCCCTCTCTCCCTATTTATTTCAGAAACCCCTTCCCCTCCCCCATTTCTGAAGAAGGGTCTAGGCCCGAAACGTCAGCCTTCCTGCTCCTCTGATGCTGCTTGGCCTGCTGTGTTCATCCAGCTCTACAACTTGTTATCTCAGATTCTCCAGCATCTGCAGTTCCTATTATCTCTGGTTTAACATCAGACAGTTGCCAAGCAGAAAGCTGAAGTCAGTAGCTAGAGAGTAGAGCTTGGAGCAATGTGTGAAAACAATGTCATCAGTCTTCCCAACATTAATTAGAAGAAATTTCTGCTCACCCAATTCTGGGTGTCAGAGAAGCAGTCCGATCACTTAGTAAGGAAATAGCAAAAACTGCACATGCTGGAGTCAGAGTTGATACAGCGTGGAGCTGGAGGAACACAGCAGGTCAGGCAGCATCAGAGGAATAGGAGAGTCAGGCCTCTGATGAAGGGCCTAGGCCCGAGATGTCGACTTTCCTGCTCCTCTGACGCTGCCTGACCTGTTGTGTTCCTCCAGTTCCACACTGTATTGACTGATCACTTAGCAACGCTGGGGGTGTCAAGAAAGGTGGTGGTGAGGTGGAGCTCAGTACCGTCACTCAATTTCTACTATACACTCAACAACTAACTTTAGGGTGATGTCACGGAGGGGTAGTGCATGGACGAGAAAGAGGAGGGGCCAGTGATCGATTGTTGCAAAATGCCAGAGTTAATGATGTAGGAGCAAGAACCAAGCTATTGTGGGTGATTCAAATCACATGGTAAATTCAACAACAATTTTTCTGATTTGTATTCATGTGTTTGCTTGCACCATATTCTCAGTTGACTGTTCTATGCAACAGTTTGCAACAGTTCTATGGTGTGCATACTACAGTTTCAGGGCAGAATACAAACAATTAACTAATTGAGCCTCCAGTGCTTTATTCTATCAATAAGCCAAAGTCTACAGTGTGTCAGATAAAATTGAACCTGAAAGATTATATTGTGCCCTGAATTTTTGCCTCAGAATGCAGGGCACTGCAAATTTAGTTCTGGAGGAGAAGAGATGCTGTGTTTGACTGCCTACTGCAGACACAGACGTTGTGTGGTAGAGGCAGGCAAAGTAGCTGAGACTATTGTTGTACAATTATTTCTAACTCGATATGGTTCCAAAATGAACATATTGTAATAGCAATGATTGAAAGCAAATGCGAGCATCTAAGTTGCCAATTTTGGTACTTAAAACACAAACCTCTGATAATACACTGATGTTAAAGGTTAAATATGGGAAATATTAATATGCCATTTAAGAGTCAAATGGTGAACATAAAAGTCATTCTTTTCACATCCTGTTGGTGTTTCAACTTTTCCCATGTTTTCTCATCCCTTTAGAAGAGATGGCTTCTGACTGGTGCAAGATGACATCAGAGCGTTATTTGCAACACTGTCACCTCACTTTTATAAATGTATTTAATGAGCTTCTCTTCAGTCAGCAACATGAGCCAACAAGATACCTCAAGTGGGCCCAGGAAGGACTGCTGCTCAGTAAAAAAGTGTAAGTTTTTTTTTAATATAAAAATATACAGCACATTAAAGGGAGCCATGACCCAGTTTGAAATTATTAATGTTCGCCGTCATTTCTTCTCTAAGTGACAGCATCTTTGGGATGTAGAATATTGTGGAAGTCCAGGAGTTGCTGTCAATGATTCTACACTACTCCAGAGGATTGCACTCGAGGTTGTTTCAGCTTACAGTCTGAGGGGAGGCAATGACCTAGTGGTATTAGCGTTGGGGTGTTAATCCAGAGACCCAGGTAACATTCGTGGGACCCGTGTTCGAATCCCGCCACAGCAGCTGGTGGAATTTGAATTCAATAAATGTCTGGAATTATGAATCTAATGATGACTGTGAATCCATTGCAAATTGTTGGGAAGATACCCATCTGGTTCACTAATGTCCTTTAGGGAAGAAAACTTACTTGGTCTGGCCTACATGTGACTCCAGACCCACAGCACTGTGGTTGATGCTTAACTGCCTTCTGGGCAATTAGGGATGGGCAACAAATGCTGGCCTGGCCTGTGACGCCCTCATCCCGTGAATGAATAAAAAAAAATCAACAGCAAATCATTGAATAAATAAGAGCTTCCACTCTCAAATCCTGAGACTCACGGTAAACCACTTGAATGATGTTGGCGATGAGGTGGAAATGACCTCATGGACATCAGTGTTATAGATGTGTCACATACATATAACCATGTGTAATTGGCGTCAATTTCACTTGATGTCTAATTTCCATGGCAGTGAATATAAGTCACTGGAGTCTTTGAAATTACATTCTTAGTCCTCACTGTGCTCATTAGTAATGCAGTGTTAAGGATTCCTGTTTAGTGTGTGACTTTTCAATGTTTCATGGATGATGGAGGAATCTGTTATCAGCTTTTACCTTAAGTACCTTCTAATAAATATGAAGAAAGATGTACTTTCAGGAAAAGTCACTGTAAGGAAACCAGATTTTTTTTTAAACTTTTCATTTAAATTCTGATATGAATAGGTTTTAATCCCTGTTATAATATAATTCCGCTTCTAGTAAAACATCTGGGAATGGGGTTAAGAGGACAGGACTGATTCAGCAGGATAATGCAATTGTGACAGCTTGAATGGTCTCTTTGACTGTGCTGTAAAAATGTTAAGAAAGATTAGTGCATCTTCCATTGCATCGGTCACATTGAGTCAGAGAAGACAGTGTTTTGTAGCAATAGTGGTGTTAACTGCCACGTATGAGACAACATCAGGGCCACGGAATTACAGTGACTCAATAAGTCAAAGCCCATTTTTAGGAAATGCTCTTGTGGGATTTCTAAAGTTTTTTTGTTTAGGATTGTATTCTGCGGTTTTTTTTTTATGGTGTGAAACCATAATGAATCAGCTTCATTATACATATACATTCCTTTTCCTATTTAAACGTTTAGTTGTTATCTCCTTTATAAGCTTTAGAGCTAAGCAAGACAGTAAAGTGCTGTGTAAACTATGCCAGTTGGAGTACAAAACAGCTGCATTGGGCTCCTCTTGCGCAGGCATTGTCATGATCTTTGGTGGAAATGGGATGAAAGCCTTGAAGTTTCTCAAGACCAGAATTAGGTTTCATAGACTTTGTGATGCAGTGGGTCATCCTTTAGTCTGAATGTGACTTCCCAGTTATTTCAGTTAGTAAGACCAGAGGGTATGAATTTCAATTAGTGAAAGTTGCATTTAGAACAGACGAATTAGCAAGAACGTTTTTTATTGAAAGATAATGAATGTTTGGAATTTCTCTTTTCTTTTCCTCTCCCAGGATGTGGGCATTGCTGACTAGGCCAGATGTCACTCATTCCTAATTGCCCCTGAAGAAGGGGTTGATGAGCCATTTTCCTAACTCTCTGCATTCCATGTGGTGTAGGGACACCCACAGTGTGGTTAGGGTGGGAGTTCCAGGATTTTCAACCAGTGACAGTGACTGAACAGTGATACAACTTCAAATCAAGATGTTATGTGGCTTAGAGGGGAACCTGAAGTTGGTGGTGGTGGTGGTATTCCCATGCATCTGCTGCCCTTGTTTTTCTAGGTAAAGGTCACAGGTTTGGAAGGATCCTTGATGAGTTACTGCAGCAGATCTTATAGATAGTACAAGCTGCTGCCACTGTGCGTCAGTAGTAGAGGGAATGAAGGCTGAGGATAGGAGGCAGGACGGGACACTTAAAGCAGATGTTGGTGGCATTCAGATCTAGTCTGGGAAGTGTTTATGCATTGATGGTCCACGTGGAGTATACCTGTCCTTGGCTAACGTGGTGTCAGCACGGGATAATCCTTACAATGTCATTCCACGTTTGTCTTCTCCATGCTATTTAATATTTTATACACCCAATGGTATTCACCCTTAACCTTCTCTTGAAATGCTTGAAGTTAATATTAAGAGGTAGCTGTAGAGACTGTACAACAGGGTGACGATGGCTTTGAATCAGAATTGAGGGAGGAGGGAAGGTGAAGAAAATAAAAACCGGGTTCCTATCTGTGGCTTCACTCCAATTCAGTTAACCCTCCGGGAAGTGATATGCTTTCCTTGTTACCCACACATCAGTCAAAGTGAGGCTGTTGTTCCATGGTGGGAATGTCCCTACCTCTGGCCTAGGAGACCTGGACGCAAGTCCCACTTGCTCAATAACATCACTGTACAGGTTGATTAACAAAATATATGCGTCAGTCAAAGCCTGGTTATCTCTCTTGTCATAGAGTCATCCTTAATGCCCACTGAGCTATTGGGTGAGCCCTTAAACAATGCCTTAGGCAATTCATCTAATCACTGTCCTATCCTAAAAGCTCATTCAAGGCCCAGACCCTTTCAAAATCTCACCTAGTCTTGCCGTTCTGTTTCTTGTGAAACCTGTCACAGTCCTTCATGGACAGGAGCTGTATCTCGGTTATCTTAGAATCTGTTGACAAAAGGAGCTGGAGCTGTGCCCTGAGCATCGTGGAGATTGTGTAGGAGTTCCAGCGGCAGTATTCACACCCATTGCTTTATGTTAAAATTAAACACCCAGCTTAATGACTGTGCAATAAAAATAAAATTCGTACCTTTCAACTCTTTGTCTTGTTAACACACAAGGTTGCTTACTCTGGTTAGATATATTCCTGGATCTTTCAGCACATGAACACTAACCACTGCCCCCCCCCCAATCCAACCGTCCTACCCTTTATTCCCATCCACCACTATTTTTACAACCAGTAAACAAATTGAACAAAACATCTGCACGTTCTTTCACTCCAGCTGCTTGCTCCAGTGCTTACGAAATTAATCTATAATTTGTGGAGTCTCCAGAACAGTTGGGGAGGGTTGTTGCTGGAGGTGGATGTCTAGGTCCTCAGAGCATTGTCAAAAAGCCAGCATGTGAGATTCAGAGGGGGCTTGGCAGGACAGATGCTGAGTTTCATCCCCCACGGAAACCTAGCCGAGGGGATACACAGTTCTAGAATAAGGCAGCTCCCATTCAAAAACAGGGATGATGAGGAATGTACTCTCTGATGGACGTTAGTGTTTGGAGTTCTCTCCCCAAAGGAGACTGGATCATTGAATATGTTTAAGGCTGATTTAGGCAGATTTTTGATTTTAATCTGAATATTTCCTAATTGGACTATTCCGAGGTCTTATTAGACACCTTTGGAAAATGTGGGACCTGAACTCTGGTCTCTTGCCTCAGAGATAGTAACACTACCATTGCACTATAAGAGCCCTAAAATAAAATTATGCCTTAGTTTAGATATTTTTAATCAGCCTGTTCAAATGTGTTATGACTTATTGTCTGTGTGGCAGCTGGGATTTGAACCTGGACCTTCTGACCCAGAGGTAGGGACACAACCATTGCATTGCTTAAGGTCAGGTCAGATCAGCCATGAGATTATTGACCAGAGGGCCAGGTTCAAGGGGCCATATGGCCTCCTCATGCTCCAATTTCTTATTTTCTGATGTCATTATTCTCTCAAGGGTGATCAGCCCATGCATCACGGCCCATTCTCAGAATGTGCTTGTGCTTGCGCTTTTCTCCTTCTTTAGTTCACTTGTTGTCAATCTTATCTCGCAGGAAGCAGTGGATCTGTGACAGCTTAAAACCTCCGGCAGCCTAAACTAGGCCCTGAATCCCAGATAGGTTTGCCCAAACATGGGCATTTGTCTGATCCTTCGTCCCCCACATCCTTTCCCTTACCACCAAGTCAACCACAACAACCCTAAAAACAAAACATCCAGCAACTTGGCTGGAACGTTGTGTTCCTGACTGAATTTGAAGGGAAACGTTTAGTTGTAACAAATGGGAATTGGGCTCTGTTGCAACCTCACAGCAAACAGTTTTATTGTTCCAAGGAATTTGGAATTTGCATCCTGTTATACCAGTTGGTGAGCTCGCTGGGAGAGTGTTTACTGAAGGAGACGAGGCACCGTTAGCTCTGAGCTGGATGGCCCTGTGTTCAAGTAGGATTGTGGACCTTTTGGTCATAGCAGGAGCATTGAGCAGCTTCAAGCAGGTTATTAATTAGTCTGGAAAAATTCTTTCGGTTGTTCCATACTGTTCTCCAATGGGTGGACAAAAGTTGCAAACTGTAGGAGATGGAAATCCAGACCCAGTTTGTTATTTCCCACTATGCCAGTTATCTGTTTCCTTTCATTTATTCAATCTCAGGTTGTCACTGGCCAGACCAATGGTTATTGCCCATTCCTTTGTTGCCCTTGAGAAGGGATTTTACTCAGTGACATGCTGCATTGCTGGAGTTAGAAATTTCACCTGGTGACCTATGACTCAATGAGCTGGCGTACAGTATGGTGTAGTATGCTTGTGTGTGAAAGAAGGAGAAAAGTGAAATCTTGCATTTATATAGCATCTGGCTTGAAATGTAGTCCTTATTGTAATGTGAGGAGCATGGTAACCAAATTGTGTACAGCAAACTCCACAGCAGCGATAATGACGAGATAGGCAGTTTGTTTTTTTTAATGTTGAAAGTGGGCTAAACATTGACGAGTGGGATGCTCTT